ACGCTCTCGTGGCAGTACCTTACGTAAGAACAGAATTACAACTGAGGTTTGCCTGGTGCATGATGGGACTGACTCACAAAGAGTATGATTCAGAAGCAAGGAAGAGGTCAAAAGAAGAGAAAGTTTCCCTTATGACGAACCTGAGGGATCTGATAGTCCAAGAGGGAGCAGCAGTAGCGTGTGCGAAGCGGAGAGACGCTCTCTGTTTCATTCGATTCATGATAGAGCAGATTTCAGTACCTGCATTGAACACCTGTGTTAAGATGCTGAGGGAAGGCGATGAGCGAGCGAAAGCCTTACTCTTGCTAGCACTGCTGGATATGCAGCAAAGCAAACCGATGAGGGTGAAAATGAAAGAACCCGAGGAGTTAGAGCCCATGAGAAAGATAGACGAAATCAGGAGATTCTCAAACAAGGAGCTGAGACTCACTAAAGAATCTATGGGGGCATTGCCGAAATCCAGTGAATACTGTGGACGGATCAAGAAGAAGTCGTACAGCTACGTATCCGGAATCATAGGGATAGCGTACAACCCTTTCCTGAGTGAAGACATACGCGATTGCTTCTTCGATTACGAACAGGCAGTGTTACTAAGATTCTGGACGTCGAGAATTGTAACAATTAAGAGCGCTAATAATCCACAGGCCAAATTGGGACTGTACTTGGAAGAAGAAGTGACTGCACCTTCCGTACCAAAATCCGACAAAAGAGTGGAGTTTGGGTTGGGATTCTCAGATGAATTACTGAGAACGAGCTTGATGGCAGTGTTAGAATTGATGAGGCCATCATGGTGTCCTAGTCCCAACGCTGACTTGATATTACGGGCGACACAAGACGTGCAGAGGGAACTGAATGCAGACTGTAACCTGCGTGAGCTTAACATTGTATATAATGTGATGATAACGGCCTCTAGGAGCAACGGAGAAGATAAAGTGGAGTTGCCTGGCTGGGGACCAGAAGACTGGGTCAAACCTGGTAGCCTTCTGGCGGAAGTCTGTGGACTGGAGGGTCATGTTTGTGGAGGTCTGGACTTTGTGAAGACCCTTGAGAAACAACACAAGCAATTGACGATATTGTTTGGGAATGTCGTGATGAAGGCAAGGACGGAAAAGGAACTGATAGCGGATTGTCATGGAGGAGCCGAGGTGAATCTAGTGACTGCACTAGGATTCTACAGCATGTTTAGTTCTTTAGAGTCACTATTGAATCTAGAACAGAGACATGAGATGGTCACAGCCATCAGTGTAGAAGTGTTCCCAGGAGTTCTGCAAACCGAGCAGAAATACATAGGAAAATGGAGGGAAGCGATCGAGACGGAAATGAACATCAGACACAGTGAGACTTATTGTAGACCATCGGGAGCACGATATTTGGTGGGTTCGACATTGGCTCCAATGTGCAAGAGCAGATACCCGGTAAATTTCGTAGCTGTGGATGTAAAGAGTACCAGAACGATCGTGCATCAAGCCATCTCAGTGCCGAAGTGTGTGAGACTGGCGAGAATGTCCGAGAAATCTTACGAGTTGCTATGTAAGATGTTCTCAGCAGTTCCAGAGAGAACCAAGGAAGAGTTGGAATCGATACTAGGAAAGAAGTTCATGGGATACGTGAGCGGGAACTTCAGTGACTTTGAGAGACAGAAACAGAGAGGATCAACTGTTACAGATTACAATACAGTAGACGAGAATGATGAAGTCCACCGAGTGATGATGGAATGGGAACCATTACTGGAAGTTTCGGGAAAACGTAACTGGAGGAGCATCATGTTGACACATGACGAGTTTCCCTGCCACTGCTTGCTGCAGACCTGGTGGTATCCCAAGCGTAGTAATCTGGTGTTGATCTGGGACTCTGGAGAGCTGCTCTCCATGGGTTTACCAGACTCATCGCAGCCCATAACAATAGTGATAGTGGGAGTTATGATGGCGATACGATGGCTGGAAGCTCACGTAAGAGAGAACAATAGACAGGAAGCGCCAACGAGAGAACAGTTGCGGAAATTGGATTGTCTAAAAGATTTAGATCTTTTTGAGACAATGTGCAAAATTCTAAACATTCCGATGGAAGTGAAGAAGATATGGGCAACAAAACGATTGATGCCATGGTTCAGAGCTAAGATGACTGCATGGTTGTACGAATATGCTAAAAAGCATATGTCGAAGCACGGCAGAGTGTACAGTGAATATCAGCTGGACATTGGAGCAGGAGCTTTCAAGCGAGCTCTCGTGACTCATCGGAATGCAGTGACCACCGCTGTGAAAAGAATTTCCAGGACAAGTGAACGTAGTGGAAAGGAGAAGGCAGAGATGTTAAAGGAAGATTTGGAGAGAAATGTGACGTTGTGTCTCCACAAAGAGCTTCTGCAGGAACAGAGAATCTAACGTGGATCCCCTACCTTGTTGCAAACAGAGGCTAGAAGAGCAGAAGTGTTGGAGGACTGCTTCCAACAGCGTCAGGATAGCTAACGACGTGTTGCAGGACACAGAAACTGAAAGTGCAGAGTCATTATCACAGGAGGAGGAGATGGAGCATTGACGAATGGCCGAAAAACGAGATGCAAAAAGAGACGAAATTAGAAGAATTTAGAAGTTTTAGAACTTCTAAACGACGAAAAAAGAAGAAAACAAAGAAGTGATGAAGAAGAAGTTAAAACTCAGAATTGTTTCATGTGTGTGAAAAAACTCAAGTCAGAAACTAAGCAACCAAGTTGTAATTGTAAAATGAAAGATTTAGTTGAGTTTTGAAGTTGTTGCATTTATAAATTTGATTTTGATTTTAGTTAAGTGGCTTCAGAGACACTTATTTACTGTTTATTTAGAAAGGTTTGAGTGAAGGTGTATATTTAAATATTCCAGCCTGCATGACTGTTTTTAATCAGCTAGGAGAACTGATCACTTTGTGGTGACATGAAAGGCTTGGGTAATCTCTCGAAGAGGAACATTGTTTCATTGTTCTTTCTAACCACAGAGTTTCTTAGTTTTAATATTCAGGACAATAACAAGCAAGATTTCCGAAGGGAAGAAGCATAGTAGGATAATTTTAGCTTGTTGGTTGGCAGGACTGTCCTGCAAACCAACACCTTTTAAATCTAGGAGAAAAAGTTTTTAATCAGGACATTGGAAGTCGAAAAATATGTTTTTATCTCAGGTCACATCCTCAATGTGCAGATTAATGAAAGATTTTGAAGGCTATAGTGATGTAGTATGATGCCATTTATATTCTGCAGTGAGTCGATATGACGTGGATAAAAGTAATTTCGTGCGTTTTGTAAATTCTGTTCGATGACACTGTACCAATTCTACGAACATTGCGAGACTGTCCGGGGAGTATGTGACATTCGATCAGAATGGATCAAAATGCAGATTCAGCATATTCGAATTTTTAGCAGTGAACCTTCCGATTTGGCAATTTTGAAGGAATAAAAGCGTTATTGGCACGATTGGCCAAACGGTGAGGTCTAGAATTTCTGGTATTTTGAAATTTTAAAATTTCGAAATATGACGTCATATTTCTGAGAAACGTCAGAAACGGCCATTTAGGAAGAAAGTCGAAGAAAAACACAACAACAGTAGTTGCGCTGACGATAACAACGGAAATTGTGATTGAGAGACAACAACAGATTGCAGGAATAGCAGAGACCGTTCCGAGTTGCAACTATTGTGTCGCTTCAATAGTTGCAAGGCCGTGGCGAATAACGGTGAAGGGTGGAAAACCAGCCTTCCGCAGGGAAGATAAGAGCCTTATTTCCCCGGATTCAAGAATCCGGAGGGGTGCCGGGACTGAAACTTTTATCGACTTATATAAACTTTTAGCTTCCCTGTCATGTCTTGATTTGAATTTAATTAACATCTGATTCATTCTATTAAGATGAGAAGCTAGGAGTTGGGGGAAAGGGCTGAACAAAAACAATAATAATTCAATAAGTAGTAGTAGCCCTGATTTTAGGAGTGACCTCGTGGTCTGCGGATACTGAGACCCAGCCATGAGCTCACTATTTCTGCATGTAATTAAGTTAATTTGAGTGTTTTGACCGAAGCCGAAAGCAGTAACGTTTTTGTCGACCCGATGTTAGAAAGACCACCGAAAGTACTGGCTTGGTAGAGACGGCGAAAAGCATGTAAAGCTCTGTTTAGACGTTGGCCAGGCGTCTTAGGACTTAGTTTTATTTTCCGTCGATATGTATCTTCCGGGCGAATGTTACACGAGACGATGCTCTTAGTTGTGAAAACGATTGAAATTAACTTTTCATCAAAGTTTCCTCCGAAATTATTTAGATTTTTTTTATCTTTGTTAGAACTACGGGGTCTAGGACAACAAGCCGACGGGACTTCAAGCCGAAATTTAAACATTACAAGCACCTAAAAACGCTAAATTTTTATAATTAAAATGTTTATTTTGAAAAAAAAGTAGACAAGTTTAGTTCATCATAAGCGTTCTTCATGACAATGCACCATTTAAGAGTGGCATCAGAAAGTTAGATCAGCAGGATTTTGAAATGCATAAATTATACACATGAAAAACCCCATGAACAATGTTTTAATTTTTTATATTCCTAAACATCATTTTTAGGCTCAAAAATAACAAAAAAGCCAATAACTTGTTAAGCAAGCTGATGAAATTGAGAATTTTTTCAAAACAGTTTTCAAATTATCCATATTTCATAACCTTTTGACGAAATGTTCGGCTTGAAGTCCCTTTTTATACGATTCGGCTTCAAGTCACGTCGGCTTGATGTCCGGCACCCAGAACTACGTCCTCAATATTTTGTTTTCGTTCAATTATTATGCATTTAAGAAATTTTTATCAATATGATCACACCAGCAAAATTGTTTAAAAGTTCATTTAGCTATTAAAGTGGTTGAAAAAAGTGTCAATAGATTTTCATTGTGCAAAATCGACTGATAATGGAAAACCGAAAAGAGATGTCTGCAACCATTAAACTGCGTGAATTTTTTTCAGGATTATGTTTTAATTGCTCCAGCCGTTTTTGATAACTCTAAATGTCCCCGTGCTATGGATCTCCACAGTTTAGTAAAGTAGCATCTGGTACTGGAATCAAAGTGTATAGATGCCTGCGTTTCACTCCGAACGGACGCAATCACTCTTCGCCATGGGCGAGCAAAGTACTGAACAGTAGATTGGGTCGTGAAAGTGTATTAATTCAGCAGCGTTTATTTAAAGAGGCTGAAATTTTGAGGCAGATGGATCACCCTAACATAATAAAACTGAAAATTGTCAATGGAATTGAGGAGAGGAGTACTGCACTGAACCTTGAGTTCGGAGGCAAAAGTTTATCAGAAATTTTATATGGCACACGAAAATCTTCATTTAATGATTCTGTTAGTTTAACTGCAGAAAATTGTCAAATTATTATTACAGATGTCATAAACGCGCTGAAGTATTTGCATCTGGAGAAGTTCCTTTTACATGGAGATATCAAGTCGGATAACATTCTATTTGACCAGCAGAAAAACGTTGCAAAAGTTTGTGATTTTGGAGTAAGTCTTGAAATGAGAGCCGGTGGTTCTGGAGAATTTTTGGTCAGAAAGAACCATAGCGAATGTTACTTCGGCTCTCCCGAATATCAGCCAAAGGAAGTAATGGTTGAGGTAGACTGCGAAGAGGATCGATCAATTACCGACCGCTGCGACATTTGGGCATTCGGACTTGTTATTTTTGAAATCATTGTTAGGAAACCTCCATATTCTCGGTTGATTCCAAGTCCTGATGGGAAGTCCGGGTTTGAAATTGCAGTCGATCCAGCAATAGATGAACTCCTCGGAACAAAACCAATTTTGTCAGATCAAACTTTCTATGCCCCAGAAAAGGTGGTCAAGTTGTTTAATTGGTGCACAGAGGAAGATTTTCGAGACAGAGCATCTATTTTGAATGTTCATCATCTTTGGAACGAATAAACTTCTTATACCTTTACTACAAAATATTAAAACTCTCAAAATCATTTTCAGAACCATTTTGTAAATTCTAGTTTTGTACACGTGGTAGTAGTGTAGATGTGTTAATGATAATATAACGGTTAATTGACATTTAGAAGTCGCGTTTTTAATTAGCTTTCACTGAGTTTTTTTAGCTACCACACTCGTTCACAAGACTACGTCTCCTATTTGCAAAAGGAACTGTTTGCAATACATTGGTCACACTGTTTTGCAGGAACGGCCCGCCCTTATATAAACCATTTAACCTATGTTCATCATCCGTATAAAATTTACCCGAGGTTGACTCAAATCCTCAAAAAAATTGATGATCTTTTGAAGACAGCATTGTTTTGTTTCGCAAGATTCCGATTTTTCCAACCCTTATCGCAAACCAAAAAATAATAGGTGTCCCTCTAGTTGATCGTGAGTGAAGACGATAGGCGATGGATATGTCCCTGTCGTCATTGGTTGCTCCAATCTCTCGTGATATACTGACAATCTTAGCAATGTTGACTCAATAGTTTCCTGTTTCTTTCCATTTTCAACTTGCTCGGGTTCTCCTATGATGCGACGATTATACGTCTCTCTTTTCTCTGCTTCAGATAGGGTTTTCATTTTGTTCAGACCGGACTGGGCGTAAATTGTTTTTGTGTCGGACCTTATTTCATCATTTTTTCAAATTTCATCTTCTTCTTCCCCTTCTTCGTTCTGTTACGACCTTTGCAGGTCCTAGAATGGGACTCGGGCTCGCTCACTGCTCTCCTCCGTGTATGTTCCTCTTATGACGCGCGAGATTTGTTGCACTCTGGTCCTCCCCGCATATGTCGCATATCGCCCGTTTGCCTTTTGGGGGTTCCTTAGTATGTCCCTCGCATGCTCGCCTATGGTTCGTCCATGGCCCTTTCTCGTTGAACGTGCGCATGCAATGCGGGCATGTGAAGGTCGTGAGACGCTCGTGGTGCATTTTCCTTTCATGTTGTGTCCTTCCACCCTTACTGGCGCACACTCGCTCACATCCTTCCCATCTACATTTATAGACATTCCCCCTTGAGTCTTCAGTATACTGTGATCTTCTGGGCTTTTCCTGTCTTCCATTTACGTTGCACATTTCATTTTCCCAGTTCTCAATGAATTGCATCCGTTCCTTAGTCAGTATCTTCCACTTTTTCCTGTCGCGGGTGAGGTTCTCGAGGTCTGTCCAATCCTTTCCCATCTCTTTAACTAGCTTCCTCCAGTATGAAATAAGACCATTGCGCAGGGTGCCCTGTTGTGTCGGCTCCATTTTCCAGTGTCCTAGGACGACTCTTTTCACTGTCCTGGTATTGGGCATTCGCAGAATGTGTCCTATTCGTTCCAGGGCTCGTTTTTCTATTTTGCACCGAATTGATGGTATTCCCAACTCTTTCCTTATTTGATACGAGTTTGTGCTGGTTTCCTGCATGCGTATCAAGGCAAGACCTCTTCCTCCATTCCAAATATGCCGATACGCCTTGTCCACCACGCTTTGCATCTTATTTATGTCTGTCTTTGACCATGGCCTCACAGCTGAGTCAAATAGCATTGTAGACTCAACTGTGGCTTGCACTACGATAGCTTGGGTACGTTTTGATAAGGTAGATTTCCATAACCACCGTTTGATTTTGTACCACGCGCAGTACCCTCTTTTTATCCGAGCAGCCTTGTCTTCATTTTTACCGATTCGTGTCCCTAGCATCCTCGTTTTATTGGCTGCCTCAGAAGCGAAGGATATGTTTTCCTCCTTGCCATCGTGGCACTTTTCTTCGAACTGGGCGAGGGCTTCCTTGAAAGCTGTCTTGCCTTCCCTCAGCTCACTGTTCCAGCCAATAAGGGTTGAGTCGTCCGCGAACAAGGAGTCCACTAAGATGAACTTCTCTTGTGTACTACTTCTCGTCGTTCTCCGTGTATCTACGGGGGGTAAGCTATTGCCGGGTCTCCAGCTCCACGCAAGGCCGTACTCTTCGTCGTTACTCACTGCCTTTTGTTCCCGCATTTTTGTGCTAGTCGGACCGCTTGAGTATGGTAGATGTTATACAGGATTGGTAATGTTGCACATCCCTCTCTCAGTCCTCGCTGTGGCCTCCAGTTCTCACTGAGGCCCTCTTTACCCTTGACCCTGTAACAGGTTTTCTCATGGAGGCCTTCGATTATTTCCAAGACACTCGAAGTGACGCCTAGGCGCTCCAGAATTCTCCATAGGAGTTGCCTGTTGGTTCTTGGGTACGCTTTTGTAATGTCTAAGAGGGTTGCCCCGGGGCGCCTTTCATCAATTTGTTGACAACAACCTAGCACTCTTCTTGTCTCCTCGTCCACTCGCAGGACAACTTGCGTAGCATCTGCTGTAGAGCGGCCGCTACGAAAGCCATTTTGATTCTCATCCATGGCGCCGATCTCTTCTGCCCATCTTCTTATCCTTGTGGCAAAGAGCCTTGCTTTGATCCTGCTTGCCAATGGTAGGAGACATACCCCACGGTAGTTGTCCAGACAGTTTTTTGCACCCTTTTTATGCAGTGGTATCATCCAGCCCTCTTTACAATCATCTGGCCAGTCCGATGGACTGGTACCTAGGAGATTGGTTATGCAGTTGTATAGGGCTATTTTGGCGTTTCTGCTAAGGCATTTAATGCCGTCCATTCTGATACCATCGTTGCCCGGCGCTCCGTTGCTTATTCTTTCCAGCTGCTCAGTGAATTCGGCGAAGGTGATATCCTTCTCCAGGCGTTTTGCCTTCCAATCAACTTCACCTTGTACTGCGCTTAAGCCTTCATCAACACCTTTCTCGTACTCTGTTTTCGGGCCTTGTTCCCTTAGCTTGTCCCAGTTGATAACTGCTTGTGGCTTCCTTTGACCAAAGCCTTTCGACCTCCACTGTAGGTTGCATGACATGCTCATGGTCCGAGAGTTTACACCTGGTGTTGATGGTTCTTATGCCCCTTGCAACTCGACTCCTTTGCGACTGCTTCATGACAAAACCATCTAATTCGTGCCATGTATGGTAGGCAGGGTTTTTCCAAGTGCCCCTATTATTGTGACGGAAAAAACTGTTCACCCAGCAGAGTTGGTGCTCATGACACCAGTCAATTAGATCTCTTCCTGCTCTGTTGGTCTTCCCTAGACCAAACTGGCCCGCAGCTTCGTCCGCCTCGCGCACCTGGATATCTCCCACTGTCGCGTTGAAGTCACCTCCTATGACCAAAATGTCTCTTGCTTTCCTGGTCTGGAGTTGACTGCTAAGCTCCTCACGGTACTCCTTAAAGACTTCGGGGTCGCTATTCCACAATGGCTGATAGAGAGCTATAAGTTTTGTGCCGTCCACGCAGACCGAGATGCGCCTTTTTCCGCATTCTCGTTGGCAACCTTGGTCGCGCCAGTCTACGGCCCATAGGTCTCTTAAGAAGACTCCACTGCATTTCCCATGGACGAGTACTCCATAGAGTTCTTTTGACTTAATCCACTTAATGCCAGGAGTCTCCTCGTTCATTTCCGAGAAAAGCACTAGCTCCACTTCAGATTTTGCAATTTCCCTTAACATCTCGCAAAACCTGCCCCTTCTTGGGAAGCTAGCTCGTGCCTTCCTGACATTCCATGTCCAGATTTTGGTAAACTTGTGCTTGTCCAGAGTTTTCGCGGTATTTGACCATTTTTCTTCCCGTAGAATCTTCCTTCTTCCTCTCCTACGTCTTCGCTGCTTCTGTCTTCGCAACAGTTTACCGCTTGTCTCCGCCGGCTCTTCTTGTATCGGTTGGCAGCATTCACCTAGGAACGATGGGGACCATCTTCCATCCTCCCCTTGTTTTGTGCAGTCCCAGTGGATCCATTCGCTGCAACCGTTACATTTGACCGACCACGTTTTGCGTGTTATCCCCTTCCGACACTTCGTGCACTTCCAGGTCTTTGATGGACCCGGGTTCTTCTCCACGTCGTGCAACAGTCCAAGTCGGATTGCCGCTAACGCGTGCCTTTGTCCCGTTATCGCCTTGTTTCTCCTCCGGTGGTCGGCTACTCCTCCGGCGGGTTTGATAGGGGTATTGGACTCAGCAGTGTAGCCTAGGCTAAACCCACTGCTGAGCCTCAGTACCCCCCCCCCTGGTTTGGCTTTTGTTCTCCTTGACGGATCTGCGCTTCTTCCCTCTTGCCGGGACCAAACCATGAAGAAACAATTTCATCTTCTAATTCGAATTTGTCGCCTTCTTCCTCGTATGGACTTAGAATTGATCTGGGCTTCTTCTCTGCTGGATCTGTAATTTGAGTTTAATCTATAGATCTGTGGTTTAGACATGTACTGCCATTGATATTGGATGAATGGAGTTCAATTTTCGTCTCTAAAACTATTTAACAAGTTTATCACAACAATTATGCTAATTGCATCTTACGTGATTCGAAAACAATGCAGGAGCTATTGTCTTGTAACAACCGAGAAAGGCCAGTTTTCCCCATTTCTTTAAATGGTTTCTTAGCTTGCATCAGTTTCTCACAAAGGCAAATATTTGTTACCTGCCATATTTTGTGTTTCTTTTCCGATTATACATAAATAATGTTTTTCATAATTATAATTGGCGCTGAGCTTCGCCTTGCCTCTGTGTTACATTGGGCCAAAGCAAATATTTTTGAAGCTGTATCTAGACACCATCCTTGAAGTAGTTTTTCTGCGCATATCAATCGCTGATGAGACTTTTGTAACCAGGCAAGTAGGACTTTTCTTAATTTAATTTAGATTGTGGTCATTTTTGTCTGATACTGGATGCCATTTTTGATACTTTAGAACGTAGAATGTTTTTTTTTCGTCTTTTTTCTTAGTTTTAATTTTCACAAGTTTTTCTAAATTTAAATCTTTTTTATCTTGTCTGATTATCTTTCGAATACACGTCAGGTTTGTCAATTAGTTTCAGTGTTAATGAAGGTACTGAAGTTTGATTTACTAAGGTTGATTTTTTCATAGATTTTTCACCCCGGTTTTCTGATGT